AACGGGCAGCACTACGACTTGTAGAAGTAGTATTCTTCGGTGAAACCGGGATCACTTCACACACCGGGTTTCTCGCAGGCAGAGCTTCGGCTCGGAAACTCTTTTTCTTCTCAGGATCTTTGGGCTTCGGGACTTGCTTCGGGTCTCAGGGTTGATACCAGGGCTTCGAGATATTTCTTGCACGTAAATCGAGGTAAAACAGGAGAGAGAAGAGAAAATAGCAACCCTAAACGGCTGACCCTTCAAATCTATTTATAGGGCAAAATTGGCCCATGCCACATCGTGGCACCTTTTTCCACATTGTGGGCTTGGTCGTCACTTCATGCGTCATCGCAAGTTGCATCTGGGAGACTCCCGGAGGTTTCAGAAGACTTGCCACGTTGTGTCACTGCTTGCCACGTCATGGTATCTGACAGTTTTGGGGTTTCGCGCCCCGAACTTCAGAAATTCAATACTTTCGCATACGAACTCCGTTTTCGACGTTCTTTATATCGACGCGAAGGTGAGATTATGATCTAAAACTATCGTTCAGAATCCATTGGCTAATTTTGACTTTATTTTTAATATATTATAATTATATTACTTATATATTATTTTTAGTAGGTCGGGACAGGAAAACTCCGTTATAAACTCATAACTCATTCGTCTGACGTTCGTTTTCGTCCGTCTTTTCGTTGTTGCACTACTATCGATGAGATCTTCAATTCTCATTTAGATTGTTTTGGATAAATATCGCTCTAACGTAAATTCACTATTTACGTCGCGCTGTGTCGTGTCGGTTTTGTCGCGAAACTTCGACAGGTCATAACTTCTTCGTTATAACTCGGATTTCAACGTTCTTTATATATTCGGAAACCTCGTAACATAAACTAAATCTTAGTTAAGATTACTTCTTCTAAATAATCTTTCCCAAAAAAGTCATTTTTGACGCTCACCATCCTTAAATTGACTAGCCAGATCTACGGGCGTTACACTCTCTATATGCATGAGTTCTCTGTACAATTTCTATGACTTTCATTTAGATTACTTTAGTTAATAAGCAACCTATCTCCGATTCAGTTTTTACATTGCGCATAGTTGTGTAGGTTTAATCGTGAAACTTCGAAGAAACATAACTTCTTCATACGAAGTCAGATTTAAGCGCTCCTTATATCCATGCGATAGTCATTACGATTATTAAATCTTTAGCTAAGATTATATATTATATTTTAACTGCCTAGCCCGCATATGCGGGCCTTATAATAGCTCTGGAGGGTGTGAGGAAGAATGAGGAGAGTTGCATCTATTTATAGAGCATATTTTGACTAGGCTTGCCGCGCCTTTAGAGGTGCGCATCACACTTTCCCAACACACCCTTCCTCTTCTCTTGTGACATGTGAATAACAATTTGTGGACCATGCCCCCACATTCTAGAAGCACACGTCGCACAACCTTCCTATGCGTGTCATTTCTTGAAAAATTTCAGAAAATTGTATCTTTCTCATATGGCCTATGTTTTCTACATTTATTATATCCATGTGTAGCTATTGACGAGTACTAAAACTTTTATTTTGACTCCGTCGACTAATTCTTAATTTATTTTTAAAGTTATATTTTTAACAGGCTTAGACTGTTAAAGTTCGTATAAAAATCATATCTCCTTCATATAAATTCCATTCTCTACTGTCTTTATATCGACAAAATCATATTCATGAGATCTTCAACTCTCGTTTAGATTGTTTTGGAAAACAATCAACCGTTTGAATTTTGATTTCCGTGCTAACACACCCTGCTGAAACTTTAAAAAATTATAACTTCCTCATATGAAGTCCGATTTGGATGCTCTCTATATACACGAGTTTTCTTTTATGATTACTATGACTTTCATTTAGATTACTTACGCTAATAAGCAACCTATATCTGATTTACTTTTTATGACACACATAGCCGTGTCGGTTTAATCGCAAAACTTCGAAGAAACATAAATTCTTCATACGAAGTCAGATTTAAGCACTCCTTATATCCACGGGATATTCATTATGACTACTACATCTTTAGCTAAGATTATCTATTACATCTTAAATGTCTATCCCGAATCTGTGGGCGTGACACATGAACATAACATAAATAAAGCATACATAATTTAAATGTCAATACATTAACAAATTAAAAATGTCTCCAAAATACTTGAGCCAAAACCTTGCATCCTTGACTTCAAGTGTCCCTAACTTCCCTTACTCGAGACATATATTAAGATAATGCATCAAACTAACACATATCAGTACATATAGTATTTCGAGTAATTTATGCACATAATAGAGTAAAACATTGAAAAATTTTAATGTACAATGTTATAATATGAGACATGAGTTCATATGTCATGAACTTACCTCAGGAATGTGTAGACTAACATCTAACAAGCTTCTCAAAGTGTTAGAAGGATTCTTGAACACTTAAAAAATATATAATCACGTAAAATAGCATACCCATTTAACCTTAGTTAATCTATTTAGGATCACATAAACTTAAGGTCACTTATTAACCTCTTAAAATATCATACCTGACTTTAATGAACCATAAGGAACATCCATAAGATATCTAAACTTAATTTACATAAAATTACATAAAATACCTATTGTATGGATAGTTTGTAATTACATTTTAGTTAATTGATCTGTATTTGTAATTATCAACTCCATCTTTATATGAGTTATCTTTGTAAATATGTCATTATTATCTATTATATAAACACATAAACCACAAGATAATAGGGTGTGGTTTAATTTCTATATGGTATAAGCCTAACCATCCCTTTTCTTTCCTCTTGTTTTTTCCTTAACCCTAATCTTATCGTCATTCTTTTCCTGGTACATTCTCAATGTCGACATCACAAGATGGTACCTTCTCCATGGAGACGGTGCTTCACACGATCCCTATTAAGCTTTACTCCACTAGTTATATTCCCTGATGCAATTAAATGCTACATCTCTTATCCTACCATAAGCTAACATATCACATTAATGGTTTTGCAATTGCACCTCCAACCACCATTACAGTTGAAAACAGGGATGAGTCGAATCCTACCTTCACCACTTGGCATGATCTTGATCAGAAAGTCGTAATCCTTCTCAACTCCTCCCTTACTTAAGAGGCAGCTGCTGAAATCCTTGGTTTCACCATAGTTCGTCAAATTTGGATCTCTCTTGAAACAACCTATAATAATTCATCTGTTGAACGAATCCATTCTCTTAAGGATTCTCTTCGCCAACTTAAAAGCGTATGCAATAAACTTGCTACCATATGTCAATTATTTGATGAAATAGACAAGCTCCATTGGTTTCTTTATGGGTTAGGATCCTCTTTTGAAATGTTTTCCATCGCCATTCAGACAATAGAACCATCTCTTACTTTTTGTGATTTACTATCATAAGCAGAAAGCCATGATCTCTTGTTATTATCTTTGCACGGTTCTTATACACCTCCAGTGACATTTATTTCACAACAATATCATTCATCTTCTTCCCGTAGACGCCAACCTTCTTATAATGGTGGTAATGTTGGAAACAAGTGTCAAATGTCATAACTATTAACTAGTTGGTATAACTTTAGGAATAATAACAAAGCTCTTTTTGGGTTGCCCTCAAAAACTATAATAGCTAGAAAAGAATTAAGAAAGTGATATAATTAGTTAATTGATTTATTATAGGTTAATAAACTAATTAGAAACTAATTAGAAACAAATTAGAATTAATTAGAATTAATTTAAAGGTATAATGACTGAATGTTAATTGTTCAGTAGTTGAACGAAAAGAACTTTTTTGATTCTCCATAGAGATGAAAGATTTTAGAGAGCTCTTTGAGCCTTCCAGAATCAATCTATGTAACAGATCCTTTCTAATAAATGAAAGTTTTTTTTTTTTTTTTTTTTTTTTTTTTTTTTCTTTTCTACTTGTTACACTCTCATTTAATTTATCAAATGTCATTTTATGATTATTTTGAATTAATTTTTGTTCACATGTTATTTTATGACTTTTTATATTTTATTAAATTCCACATAATATTTTAATGTAATAATTGCAATAAATGTATATCAATTTTATTAATGAACTTACATTTTAATTTCCAATTTTCTAAATTAAAGCTCATTAGTTTATTTTATTTATTTAAATTATTTGTTTAAAGTTAAAAGATAAAAAATATTTTCATTATAATAATTCATTATTTTTCTTATTTTTCTTTATAAATTTTAAGTTTTTAAATATTTTGACTTTATATTTAGTTTTTTTTAATTAACCCATGTAAAAACCTAAAATTTAATTAAAATTGACTTTTAGTCAAATATTAACCAAAAATCTAAAAATAATCAATTATCGAAAAAAGATAAAAATATGAAGTTGTTCATTAAATAGAGGACAAGATTTTTTTGATATTGTGTACGGATTTTTTGAAAAACCCTAAGACAACTAAATTTCAAACTCGAAGCTTCATAAAAAATGACATCCACATGTTAAAAATTCTCATAAATAAGTGATACTCATATGCTAAAACCCCATTTTAACGTCCATGAGGTTTCATGTTTTTTTAGTTTGAACAGGATGAATTGTACGAAATTACAAAATTGAAAGCTATAATTTCCATATAATCAGAAAATAAATTAATTAAATAAAAAAGCTTATGAAAAAAAACACAAACATCACCATCTTTACACCTATGTTCATGAAATTGTCACCCTCTCATAGGCCCACATAATTTTTTGAAGAATAAAATCAATATGATATAATCAGATACTAAAATAACAAAGTTTATATAATTTTATGATATCGTAAGTTTTGTTACAAGTAACTTTTTTCGAGTTTTTATTTTTTATTTTTATAAAAAAAGTAACTAAAAAAAATGAAACCTAAACATTAAATCAGAATTGTGAAACTCCAAAAACTTGATTATTTTCTTCATATCCAAACGTCCTTTATTTAATTATAAATATAAATAATCATCATAGAATATCTGTCATATAATCATATTGATTACCTACATATTTAATTGTGAAGTAAATATGATTATTAAATATATTAATTTGAGCATAAGATATTGTTTATTTTAAATTCTTAAATTATTAAAGAATGAAGAAATTCAAGAACATTGAAAATATAGCTGGCTGTCTAAAGCTACTGCAACTCTCTCTCTCTCTCTCTCTCTCTCTAAGGTGCTTCCCATTTCTCTCTGCACACAAAACACACACAATCACACACTATTTGTATGAAATGTTCCGAAATCGATGAATGTGCTGCTGATTTTGGTCCTTATATTGTAGTCAGTGTGGAAATATTTTAGGGTTTTGATGTTTGGGGAGAAATTTTGCAGCTTTTTTGGCTTGAAGTCTGAAGGAAAGAGAAGTTAATCAAGAGAGGAGAACAAGAATATTTGTTGAAGTTGGTCGTCGGAGGTCAAAGTCAAACTCCGGTTACCGGAAAAAGTCAAGAATGAGCGCATCTCGGTTTATAAAGTGCGTGACAGTCGGCGATGGAGCTGTTGGGAAGACCTGTATGCTTATTTCTTACACCAGCAACACTTTCCCCACTGTAAAGTCAATTCAACTTCATCTCGATTTAATTTCTTCAATAATTTTAATTGTTCTCATTTCGAAGAAGCTAATTTTGCCCTAAATTGACGATAATAGTTCTATTCCGGCCTAATTTTGATTCAATTTGAATGAAACGGTTCAAAACGATGATTTTTTTCGATAGGAAGACATTTTTTCGTTGAATTTTGTTATAATCAAATGAAAATTTCAATGGTGGGGAAGTTTTCGCTGCAAAAACCTTACTGTTCTTGTTTTTAGTTTTTCGTGAATCGTCTTTCTTTGATAGAAGACATGATTATGTGTTTTCTTTGGTTGTTTTTATCGTGTGAAAAAAAGTTTCCTTTTTCATTCTTGAACTTTTTATGCTATAATTCTGTAGGATATTTTTTGAATTTGGATTTGTACTTATTTTCATGAGAATTGAATTGTTGTGGTATGTTAGATGCAACTACATTTTGGATCTGTAAATGCACAAGTTGTATGAAATAAATAGGGATAAGATTAAGATGAATGGGGGATAGACACCTATTACCCTTTGTCTGTATGAGTGGCCACCTGTCCTTCCTACAAAGTTATCTCTTAATGAGCTAATAGGGACAATACTTAATCCATTAAGCCATATTCATATACAAGTGTTTCCTTTTAAAAATGATGACTTAATAGACAAAGTCACAAAAACTAGGCTTTTGCAATTAGGTCCTAAACTTTTTACTTTTTCCCTTTTTTGCCATGTTTTTGTCAAATACTTTTTAAACATCATTTACTTAATGGGGGAAAAAAGAAAACATAATAATCTTGCTTAGTTGTATCATCAATCACACACAAAATAGTGAATTACAGGAAACAAGAAACCAAATAAACATCATTCATGTAGCTCTCAATAGTCAATATTATGCCTCATCTATGGTCATTGTTAGGATTTTAATATTCACATGTGAATTTCAATAGTACATTCATAAAAGGAAGAGTAGCTAGCTACTATAGTCCTATTATACGTATATAAAAGGGTAAAAATATAGAAGATATAAAGTACTTACAACAATTTATTGATTTAGCCACTTAATTATTGTCTATAGTGGTTAAACATCATAGACTTTTAGCTTTTAATTTTTTCTTTTCCGGTTTTGAAAACGGTCAAAATACTGAAAAACTGCAACGTATTTTATCTGTTTAGTTTTACCTACTTGAAGTCTTAATAATCAATTTTGGGTGTTTGATGAAAACTAAGTCTAATATTTTTTTTTGACTATTTAGGGTCAAAATAATATATTTTGGAGAAGTGGGTAAGGAGCTGGTTAAAGAAAAATGATTATTGAATCAAACAGAAAATTACCTAACTACCCATAATCTTAATGAACTGAGTATCTGATTAAATGATTCTTCAATTCACAAAAATCAGTGTGCATACAGATTCTTGATTTATTATTACTTATTTAAAGAATCTTTTATTAATTAGTTGGGTAGTGGGTGGAGGATGATGTGTATAGATAAAGTATATAGTTGGTTGGTGGGCCCCCAAATCCATCATCATAAATGAAATTTCTTTGTGGTGAAGGAAGCAAGGGCAAGATATGGAATTTTATTAAAACTTATTTTCTTTACATTCTCATTTCTACTTGTTTACCTTATTTTCTTTCTTTCACCATCATGTGGATCTTTCTTGATTTTATCTCGCATCAAATAAGATCAAGAATCAAAATTTATTTTCTTTTCACACCAAAAATGATAAGTAACAACATAAAGGGATAAAGTAATAGAACACTCCTTTGTATTTAAGAATCATATATAGTTAATTAATGTGAAAAAGGGGCCAAATGCAAGCAATAGCAACACATTTTCATCGATTTCTGTATTATAAATGAAAGATCTGTTTCTTGCATATAATTAAAAGTTGTAGAAGATGTGTTTTTTCCACAAATTCCAACGATTCTTCATGTATGATTTTGACTGGATGTTGACTTTCTTCATTTATTTATGAAAACAGGATTACGTGCCTACAGTTTTTGACAATTTTAGTGCAAATGTTGTGGTAGATGGGAGCACTGTAAATCTTGGATTGTGGGATACTGCAGGTTGATTCCTTAATTAATTATAAGTTGGTGTATGTCTTTTTTTAATAATCTTTTTCTGCTAAAAAAAGTTATGTTATTTATTATTATTATTATTTTTTTACAAAAAAAAAGGTCAAGAAGATTACAACAGATTGAGACCTTTGAGTTATCGTGGAGCTGATGTCTTCATACTTGCTTTTTCCCTCATTAGCAAGGCCAGCTATGAGAATGTCTCCAAAAAGGTGATTCTGTTTTTAATGATTATATTGGAGTAAGTAAATTACGGAAATGGTCCCTGTTCTTTTTGAATTTTACCGTGTTTAGTCCAAAGTTGTAACCTTTTTTTAGTTTTGGTCTTCATTCTAAGGTCTTGTGTTGATACTGGTCCTTATTTTAAGGTTTTATATCGATTTTGGTTCGTATTTCAAGGTTCCAGGGACCAAAATTGATATGAAACTTTGAAATAAGGACCAAAGTTGGAAAAAATTACAAGTTTGGACTAAACATAGTAATATGAGAAAGCACGGGAACCATTTTTGTAATTTACTCTTGATATTGCTTTTTAAATTTTAAATGCAAGAATAATTAGTAATATACTTCCATAGATTCCGTTTATTACAACATCTCTTTTTTTTTTCTTCCTATTTTTGTATTTTACTTTGAAGAATCTATCAACTTATAGCAATATTTTTTAAATACAACGCAACTTTAACCCTTTTATTATCAAGAGTATATTTGGTGTATCATTTCGTTAACAAAATATTCTCTTAATTAACTTATTACTATTCTAAGTTTCTAACATTAACATCCAACTTATTCGAAGTATTTGTTTGCTAAGTTGTGTGTATTCATGAAATTAATTTTGGAAAATAGGAGTAAAATTGTTCATGTAATAATCTTAATGGGTTTTGTTGTATTTTTGTTGAAAATTTCAGTGGATTCCTGAATTGAGGCACTATGCGCCAGGTGTTCCAATCATCCTTGTTGGAACAAAGCTTGGTTAGATTCTTTTCAACCTTCATTCACTACAAAATGAATATTTGCAATTACTCTCATTTTCTTTCTACGAGTTAGTATTAAACTATCAGTTAAATGACCACAATACCCTCCAACATTCTTGTTTTTTGTGATGAAGAATGGTTGCCTAAATGGGATGCTTTTCAATCTAAGCATCCTAAATTCTTGCATTTTTTTGGTAAAGAGAGAAACTACAAGTCATTAGTCAGTGTAGACAAGTCAAGACCTCAAATGACCAAAATACCCTCCAACATTGACTAAATGCTTATATCTTTTGTAGATCTCCGAGATGATAAACAGTTTTTGAGCGACCATCCTGGTGCAGTTCCAATAACTACAGCTCAGGTACATTAAATTAAAGAAGAAAAAAAATACATGAGGGCAAATTTGTAAAAAGGTTAGGGCTTAATGTGGAAAGTCTCATTTCTCTGACTTTCTGTGTTAAGTCAAAAGGAAACACTCATATATAGCTTACCAAATTAAAAGACTGTCTCTATTAAGTCATTAAGTCAAAAAGATAGAAGTAACATCCAAGTGGGCCCCTTACATGCTTTATAGTTTCACATATTAATAAGGAAAAATAGCTTTCAAGGTATTAGTATTAGACATGATGATGAATAATACTTTAAGACAACAAATCTCATTACACTTAATAAGCCCATTTAAATCGACTTAATCTTCACACAGTGCACTGTTTATGGTTTGCATACCTTAAATCTTGTTTGCTTTATATTTGAAGTTATGAAAGGGCAAAAATAAAGTAAAGCACTTGTATTTCATTTTATTTATTTTAGCTACTTAGCTATTTTGTATAGTAATTAAACCACTATGTTTTTTTTACCATTTAAAAACCCATTTTTCTACATTACATGGGTTTTGAAAAGATGAAAATACATAATAGCTCAAATTACTTGCACCAATTTGTGAATCTAGTCACTGAATTATTATGTTCTTTATGATTATTATAATAATTAGTCGATAGCTAAATGCCTATAGTTATGAAATATAATAGTCCTATGGGCATTAAGTTGACTTTGTAACCAATTATGCAATACATTTTGGAAGTTTTAACTTATCTTTAATGACAAAACAACCCTTGAGATATCTGACATGATGGATAATGTTTAAGAAAGAGGGCCTCTCTACTCATGAATATGCTTTACAAAACTATCCATCTTAATGAAATATCTGAATACTTTTTAATATTTTATAATAATGATATTATTAATAATTTAATATTTATATTTGCGTAGGGAGAGGAGTTGAAGAAGCTAATTGGTGCCCCTGCTTACATCGAGTGTAGCTCAAAAACACAGCAGGTGATTGTCATGTTTATGCTCATTTCATATATATATATATCTCTCCCATGAAATTCCAATGTTTCACTATTAGTCAAATTTCTAAATATCCTTAAAAACAATAGGGGCAATTTGGTAATTTATCTTAGAGTTTGGAACATAAAAGTTGTTATAATATTCGTGAGGCAAATACCAAAAATAAAGTTACAATTCTTTTCATGGGACATCTAAAGATGAAAGAAGTTGCATTTTTTATGAGACACCGATGGAACTATTTTCAGTGATGTGGATGCAAGGGCATTTACGTCTTTTTTTTTTTTTTGCATGTATATGGTTATTGCAGAACGTGAAGGCGGTTTTTGATGCAGCCATTAAAGTGGTCCTTCAGCCACCAAAGCAAAAGAAGAAAAAGAAGCGAAGGGGTCAAAAATCATGCTCCATTCTGTAACTTTGTGCACAAGATTTTTAGTGATGAATCGAATGGAAAATGGGAAGAAAGTTTGACTTTTCAATGGTGAATGCCGAGATCACCCTTTATATAGTTTTTGATGAATTTGCTCACTTTTATTGTGTCTTTGTGTTGTGTAAGTTGATATATGTAATTCTTTAACACCAAATAGTTGAGACTTTGGGGAGTACTATTTGGGTAATATGTAATATGGTTTTATGTAGTTTGTGGAAAGATGTTGATTTTAAGAGGGTTGAAAATGAAATTACTTTTGAATGATTATTATATTGTCTTGGGGCTTTGGGGTGTATTGGTTAATGCGGACAAGACACGGAGTGTTCCCTTGTAGCTCAATGTGTGGTTCATGCTTGTGAAGTTGCTTATGAACCTCTTTATTAAATGTTGTGGGTGTTTTAAGCTGTATTTTAACATGTTCAAATGATGTATATACTAAACATTCAAAAGGTCAGTTTTGACATTAGAAGAAATGAATACTACGCCTCATGTTTGTAGGGAATGTACTTTGCAGTTTCTCTGATCTTAAAACATTCCGTAAGTTGTAAAAGTGGACGTTAAATTTTACTTTACAAATTTTCTAGAGTGTGCATGTTTTTAACGCCAAACTACTTTATGTGTATTTTAGTTTATTCCACACCCTATTATCTTTAGTAAGAAAATCTAGAATTGAAGTTTTAAATGGTTTAATCAGTTAACTAAACCAAATAATCCAAAACCAATTAAACCAACTTATGTCTATTTTGGTTGATATACCGAAACACTATTAAATGGATCCAAACAACACCCATGCCGGGTAAAAAGATGGTATTTGTATTGCACAATCTTGACTTTTGGCACCAAGTTGTCAACTTAATGTTTTGAATCATGAATTTCAGTAATTAAAAACGTGTTAGAAAATGAAGTTCCCTTATGTGACATCTTGTCAAAGAGTTGCATTCATGATTTAGAAAAAAAGAACACTATCTTGCTTTGATACCAAGTTTATTAACACAAGAACAAAAGTCATCCATATGATGGAAGGAAGAATGCCGTCACATGGTAAATATTTTCTCATACAAGACAATTAATGCCAGGTTGCCTTATTCTTTCATTCCTAGCTCAGCTAAGAAAGACTATAGACTAAAGCAAAGATTCAACCAGATAAGAGAAAAAAGCAAAATTGAACAATACAAAATTTTGTGTAAAGAATACAAACTGTACTACGTAGCAAATAGACCAACTAATAATGTACTAAACATTCATGGTGTCAGTTGCCTACTCCAAAAGTAAAATGTATTAATCATCATGATGGGGTACATAAGAAGGCATATACCTTCCATCAACTTTGATCTTTAGTTCATAGTTTCCCACATCATCTTGCTCCTGTCGTATTTTTTGAAGGGATTCGAGAAGAGAAGCATCACAATTGTTAACATAAATAAACTCAAGCGTTGAGATTTCCCCCAATTCAAGGGGTATCTCTTCAAGATCAATGCAGGTCTTCACATCTAATCTTTCAAGACATGGAAAGTTGATACTTGAGGCTTCCCATTGTTTGATATTTAACTTCATAAGTATCAAGACTTTTAGTCGTTGAAACTGCTCATCACCTATTTCCCACAGGGTTCCTTCAAAGCTATTTTCTCTTAGTACAAGAACCTCAAGATTAGGTAACGCTTGAATGATGGACATGTCGCTCCACGGTAGACCACACCTTTCAAGTAAAAGTAGTTTCAGTGTTGCAGGGAACCTAATTATAATGTGATTCTTTCCCAAGTTCGGTTCACCTCTCAGCAATTCTCCCTCAACTGATCTCCTTCTGCTGTAGCCCGACCCAGTTAACGCCAATGATTGAAGGTGATGGAGTACTTCAAAGTCATTTTCCTCGTCAGAGTAAAGAGTAGTTATAAGATCCTTGATCCCTGGAAAACATTTCTGAAAATTATCTACCCCATCTCCCAACACCACTTTCGAAATAACTTCCAGTAGTTTCATCGGTCCTTCAATAGAAGGAAGATAAAGATCCGCGTTACTGCCTAAGTGCCTCAGATTCACCAAATCTGATATGTTACTAGGTAAAACCATAGAACTAGAACTTGTTCTAACAATGAGGGTTTGAAGGTTCCATAAATTGCATATTGATGTTGGGAATGATGACAGCCAAATGTTAAGGTGCCTTAAGTGAACTAGTAATGCTAAACCGGGGGAAAAATCAACCGATTCATATTTTTCTAGATTTAGCACCCTAAGAAGTGCAAAGGAACAGAAAAACTTTTCTGGCTTTAACACCCTACGACGTGCAAAGGAACAGAAAAACTTTGAGCTATTTTGAATTTTGGTTGTTTTGTTCTCCGGATTTAACATCCTATGAAGAATGCTTAGAAACGACCGAATACTTGGGGTGGGCGGAAGAGACAATCTCTTAATGTTGATTTCTTGATATGTAACCACACGGTGTGGCTTATGTGTGGTAATTACCTTTTTCCAATTTCTCAATTTCTTATTTTGTTTTCCTATGATACCAAAAAGACGATTTGATGGTGGGGAGTCTATTTTCAGGAAGAATCTTTCTTCTTTTCCTTTTTCCACACATACCTGCCTCACAAGATCATGGACTTTACAAACATAGATATCTCCCAATACATACCTATTTTCTACAATTAGAAGATTTCTGTCGACTAGATCCATCAGGTAACCGTTTGCAATTTTCTTCAAGATTTGACTTCCATCTTCTTGTATAAATCCCTCAGCCATCCATAACCAAAGCAACTCTTGTGAATAGAACCTGTAGTCTTCTGGAAACCCTCCAAGATAGAGAAAGCAGTCTCTCAAGTGAAGAGGCAGATGGTGGTAACTTAATGCTATTGTTTCCAGACATCCTTTCTCGTCACTAGCCATGTACGAATGGACACTACAAGAAATTTTTAGCCATACATCTTTTCTTCTTGGTTCTTTTGCTAGAACTCCTGCCATCACAATCACAGAAAGAGGCAATCCATGACAGTTTTTTGCAATTTGCATTCCAGGTTCAAGCAACCATTTGGGACATTCATCTCCTTGGAACACCTTCTCACACAGCAACTCCCAACATTCTTCTTCTGTCAAATGTTGTAAATGATGAATGAGTCCATCTGATTTTGCGTGTGAAGCAACTTCAGTAAGGCGACTAGTAAGCAGAATTCGACTTCCAGTGTTATGATTAGGGAAAAATAACTTCAGCTTATCCCATGCCTCTGTACTCCAGATATCATCAATGACAATCAGATATCTCTTACCCAGTAGGCGTTTATGCAACATTTCACGAAGCTGAAAGTCTGTTGCTTTCTCAAGCTTTAACTGATCATCCATAGATGACAGAACTCGAAGAAAAAAATCCCGCTTGTCATATGTTTGGGAAACAGTGGCCCATCCACGGACATGAAAATGATAAACAACAAAAGGATCAGTGAAGACTTTTTTAGCAAGGGTTGTCTTACCTATTCCACCCATACCAACAATAGACACCACATCCAACTTCTTTCCATCTTCAACAAGTTTGTCCCGTATTATCTCAACATCACGATCAATCCCCACAACCATTTCTTCCACTACTTTCTTCGATCCGAGTGAACTTCTATTGCGGGAAGCTCCAGCAGATTGCATTTGCAGTCTGTCAGTTTTAAGAGAAGAGTCCATCTTCATGTTATCGATATTCATAGTCATGAACTCTTTCTTGATAGACTCAATTGATCTCATAACAACTTCAAGGTGGAGAGAGGTTTGAAAGACATCAGATCTAGGGGAATATCCAATATTTCTACAGTGGACAGCAGATAGAAAGATATCAACGATATCTTCTGCCTCTTCAGCTGCACCTATAAACCTTTTCTTCAGTTTTCTGACTTCTTCAAAGTTGTGTAGATCTTGGTCTTCATGGTTGAAAAGGGTTTGGATCATGGAGCCAAGCTCTTCATAAAGAATTTGGAATTGAGGCCTTTCACAAACGATTGATGGGTTGTTGATCACTGGAATATCATTGGAGTATATCAGTTGCTTCAACTTTTCCATGAACATCTGGACACTTGCGTATGCCATCTTGTTTCTTCCTCTCTTGAAGAACAGTTGTATTCTGTATTGAAGTTTTGAATTAAGACAAACAGTAGAGAGCAGTTTTGCAAATTCTGTGAATTATTTGGACCCTTTTAAATTTTCTTTGTCATAAAGGAGATGGAATTGAGGCCTTTCACATAAGTTGGCTCTTTTTTCTTTTTTGCAAAATGGGATTATGGTCCCTACAATCCACCAACAACATAGTAAAGGGTTCACTTTTCACTTTTTAATTATTTTTTTCTCCATTCCATTTCAAATAATACTTCATACCATTATTGAATTTTATATATAAACTTAAAAATTTAGAATATAAACAGAATCTATAACTTATAACAATTATTAATATATCTTCACGATCAATAACATGATCCTATTAGAAACATATAAATAACAAAAGTACATTGCTATTTCTGCAGAGTCACTAAAGCAAAAAAAAAAAAAAAAAAAAAAAAACATTGCTAGCATTATCGTTAAAATATGTAACCTTTAGCATAGATTATATTTAAGATGTTTATTAATAGTAATATATAAGAAAAAAGGTACTTCAGTCTCCTATCATTTGTCATATATTCCAGAAAGCATTAACAACACCCGAGAATTAGCACCTAGACGATATCTTTTGATGAGAGCTTCAGACACTATTAATACAACACCTGCAAAGCAAAATCAGCATCTGCAAACAAACACCGAAACTTTGATCTTTTTGCCACATCAACAACCTCAATTACTATGCCTTGGCTTGAATTATCTCTTGAGTATGACTTAGTGCTTTATGGTAAAAACATCTTATTTTGAGCAAATAAAAAAAAGCATAAATCATAATCGATCATCATATCAGCACCAACTGAAGGATACAAAGATTCAATTTAGCCATTCTAAGTAACATAAAACAGAACCAATTGCAAATCTGTCACAGGCCTTATGAACTCCATTTTAAGTTTTTTAATAAAGAAAAAAGAATGACAAGGCCCAGGAATAAGATGTTAGACCCATAACCTTTGAGTAAGACCATTGTAGGCTTGCTTACATGAGACAACTTTAGATATATTTACCACATATATATATATATATATATATATATATATATATATATGAAAATAGACCAAATCCAAGTCAAAATCACATCCTCCTTAATAAATGAAGGTTTTTTTTGTCACTTGTCAATCTTTCATGAATTTTGACACTTGTCATTTTGTGGTAATTTTGAAATAAATATTATCCATTTGTCAATTTTTGGTTTGTTTTAATTTTTTATTAAAATCATATACTTATATATGTAAAGTATTAAATATCATATATATGATATTAAATTGTAATAAATATGTTTTTTTTCTTTCTTATTTAAAAGTTGTACATTAAAAATATTTCACTTTTATACTTTAAGTTTTATTATTTTTTAAATCAACCCGTATAATATATGGGTCTCACACCTAGTACTTAATTAACAATGAACACAAGGGAAACTTCTATTTTCCAAAAGAACAACTTCTTACCCTAGTCGTAACAAAACATTTGGTGAAATGGGTTGGGCACCACTGATAATGGTTCTACTTCATTGCTATTACCTTTGATGAGAAAGGCATAAACTATTTTTCTAGTTTCTTTGATTTGCTGTTTTTGTATGGCTTCTAGTACCTTCTGCTATTGTTGTTGCAATTTTTGTAGTACATTCATATGCATCCGATTGATATTGAATACGTTTAGAGAACTAATTCCCCTACAAAACAAGATGAACAACAGAGATGTAACTATCAATAGTTATTGTCTCAAGACCTTACGGTTCCCGAGTTCAACTTAAGGAGAGAAAGGAAAGGAAATGAGTGGACATGAGATGAAAAATAAAAGAAATTGGTGTTCCCGAGTTTCATTAAAGAAGGGAATTGGAAGGAAGTGGAGGGAAATGGGAGGATCATTTTCCCTCCTAACTTTCCTTCCGATTTGGGAGGATTTGGAAAGAAAGAACAAAATAATTCATTTTTCTTCCACTTCTCTCAAACTCGGGAACACAAAAGAAAATTTTGTTTTCCTTTCCTTTCTCTTCTTTTCTCTCGTGACTTTCTTTTCTCTTCTCTTCTTTTCTTTTTTTAAACTCGGGAACGAGTTAGGTAAAAGTCCACACCCACACTCTCTTGTGCATTTCTACAAATACTTTATACAATCCAATTTTCAGCTTCATTCCCATCAAATCCTTCCTTGGCAACCGCTGTAACTCATTCCAAATACCCCGTTTTGAAGAAAAAAAAAACAAACTAAATTGATACAAAAAACACAGCGAATGGTAAAGGAAGAATACATAAACCATTTGAGGAGAGAAAGCTTGAACAGTCACATGGAGTGTTGAAACCGTATGGTAATTCATTTTATTTTACAAGTTTGTGACTAATCTTCATTGCTTCATATACATCATCATCATCTTGTTTCTCCGACGAAGTTACTCTGAGTTTTAGTTGATTTTAATCATTGTGATGTGGGCTGTCAATGTAAATAGTCGACTCTGAGTTTCGGTTGATTTTAATGAACCTGGTCTGAATGTGAATATGTATCAACAAGCTAGGGGTGTTTGATGCTTAAAATTTTGAGGTATTGGGTAGAACGGGTGGGTATTTTCTTAAAATAATAATATCCGATACCCGACCTATATTGTAATTCGGGTTCTCGGGTTTCGGTTATTCGGGTTTTAGGTCGGGTCGGGTATACCCGAAAATTACTTAAGTGTCACTTATTGATTTTTTAAAATTTTTTTTTGCATTTCGGTTGCTTTAATAAAAAATTGGTTAATAAAATATTTCATACAATTAACAAGTACATATAGGATAACAATACAAGTCATTATAATATGTTATGGGATTTTTGTATTCCATTTCAAATTTTGATAAAAAAAAAAAACAGAGTACATGATTAGCGTTTGGTTAAATTCGGATTATCCAAACATGTTACATGATTTAATGTAAAATGTGAGTACATAAAAGTTATAAATAAATTTTTTTAGCATGTTATCTAAATTTTAGGGACAAATTATATAGTTATATTTTAATTCACAAAGAAGAAATGACAAAAAATAAACATGTGCATAGTTGAGGATACGTAGTGCACAAAGAAAATGAAGAGGAATCTAACATCTCATTCATTTTCATTATATTTGTTGTAACATTCAGTTCAAAACTTTATTTCATTTTCAACAATTTCTTTTGTATTTACTATATACCGTTCAAATAATAAAGCCATATAACATTTGGTTTAAACTATAAGGAACAATAATTATGTAAATAATGATACAACTTTAATAGTTATTATAGCTAGTGTATTAATTAATTTTTTTTTTTTTTAAATCAGGTATTCCCGTATTCGGGTATACCCAAATTTTTTTAAACCTACCCAATACCCGACCTATTTAAATATTGGGTTACCCGATTACCCGAATTTTCAAACGCGAAACCCGATTTAGCCGATCCGATCTATCCGAATTCAAAACGGGTCAGGTTAGGTAATCGGGTATTGGGTATTTTCAAAAGGCCTATCAACAGCTGTACAATGGGTTACTTAAATGACATTGGAGAGGGGCTGAACAAAGGAAAAGTTCATACAATGTGAGCCCATAACATCGTAATATAATGTGAGTCCAATTTATAAGTCCAAAACTGAAGTTACTGCAAACTTACGCAGAGCCCTACAATTACTACAGTTTACCCGCCGCCTTCGATAGCAACGCCTTTTTCCAGAATTTGGTACGAATTTCGTTTTCTCTGGTAAGTTTTAGCCTAATTCAATGCTTTCGTGGTTTAATTTGCTACGGATTTTATGGAATAATTCGATGTTATAAGTGAACATGATGAAATTAAGCTGAAATATTTGTTTTTCACTTCTTTTAGTTATCAGTTCAATTCCTCTAATTATCAACTGGTAGGTTGTGTATAGTCGTTTTTTCGTCGTTGAAAAACTATAATTTTGTTTCTGCTTACCTTTGGTTAGGTTGATCTGCAAGAACATGACTCACGGACATTGGTGAGAAGAAGTGGAATTGAAGTTTATTAACAGTAGTTTGTGTATAATATAGTCTCAAAGGCTCATTATTGCTTTATGAGAAACTATTCCCCATGTAAGGGCTAAATTAAATTTTTATGTGTACCTTCAACTCTGCAAGCTTAACCTTTTATGTGTATGTGTGAATTTCCATTCTCTGTTTGTATATTTCCTTTCTTCTTTTGGTCTTCCTACTAACAAACACATCATAAAGAGTTTCTTCATTCAATTTAAATAAGTTGTTCTTGATTTGGTAGACCCTGTTTTTCCTCATGATGTGTTTGTAAGAATCTCAAGGGACATGATAGTTGGCTGTAAATATCTTACTCTGCTGTTTGAAAAGTAAGTTACAAAAAAAAGATCCTCATTACTAATTTGTGTTCCTATTTTGTTTGAAAAACAGTAATTTTATTAAAAAAAAAAAAAAAGCTAGATGCTAGCAAGAAAACAATACAAAAGAAAGCATTAAGGCTCCATAGGGTTCCTAAGCCACGGAAACTAGTCCCTCCAAGCCTTAAAATGTCTTTGGAAAATCAATTATGCAAGAGCAATATAATGGAATCAACAATCATATCCTTACTAAACTTCTTATCTTTAAAAACCAAAGCATTATGATAGGATTATAACACCCAAACGGCTATCATGCATATCGTATAAAAAATGGGACTTTTCAACCTTAGAATCGGGAAAGCCATCAATCCAAGAAAACATATCTGAAATTGAATATGAGGAATCACAACATCCAACCACCAAGCAACAAAAACCCAAATCCTGGTGAAACACCGGTATCCTTGTGCTTATGAAGATGGATGGGAAGCTCTGAAATGGGTTCATTCAAGATCATGGCTTTTAAATGGTAAAGATCATAAAGTTCATGCTTATTTAGCCGGTGAAAGTTCTGATGGAAACCTAGCCCATCATGTGGAAGTCAGAGCAGCGGAATTCAGCATTGAGGTGCTCGGAAACTTATTAGTACATCCACTATTTGTTTGGCAGGGAAGAAATAAAAGAATCATAAAACAAATTAGATGGGAAAATACTTCATAAGGTTCACGATAGAAATTGGTACCAGAGAGCTTTTTTTGCCTGAAGGGGAAGATTGTAATCATCCTGCGTGTAACATATTTGAACCATGTGTCGTCAATCTTGAAGGAGTTAAATTTCCAAAAATTTTAATGGTTGTGGCGGGATTAGATGTCGTTCGGTTGGCATATGTTGAAGGGTTTGACGGATAACAAGTTTACAAATTAAAAAAATAAGGACCTTTTAAAACTTAAAAATCAAGTTTACACCCCTAGGATGCAAAAATAAAATAAAACCAGTGACCTTTCAATAAAATAGAACATTAGATTTTGTTGGGTTAAGTAACATTAACCCTAAAAAAATTAAGGGTAAGTTACACAAATCGTCCCTCGTGCATATACCAGAAAACGTGTTTAGTCCTTATTTTAAAAAATTAACTCAGACATTCCCTTATATGGTAGAAAGGTGCACGCTTCATCCCTCGTTAGTTTAAATTTGTATATTTCATCCCTTGTGATACATGAAATGACTAAAATGCCATTTGTAATTTCTTTTTCATTTATTTTGACATGTACGTTCTTTTTAATTATTAATAAATATTTTAATTAAGATTATGGGTCCACCTAGCTACCATCTGAAATCTACCAACACCTTGTACCACCCAACTCCCCGGTTCAAAGCTTAAGACCACCACCCTGCTTCCGTCAAGCCACCTTTCACCTCCTCCTTATACAACTTGTTCAAAGCTTAAGACCACCACCGCCACCCTCCTGTACAAACACCAACAAACCAAAAAAAACCATTTGAACACCATCTGTTACCGCTCCATCATCACTACCGGAAAAACCCACCTCCACCCTCAAACACCACATTTGCCACCTCCATTGCTATCAACTACCACCGGCAAACAAAATTAAAACAATAATCTAATGTAACAATCTTAGAAAAACCACAAACCTAAATCTACTCAGAATTAGGGCAAAATTAGTTTGATTAAATCCAAAACCCAAAATCATTTTGCTCAAATATAATCAGAAGAAACACAACCCTTAAATCAGAGTTTGAAGTTGGGTTTACTGTGGTGGTCTTAAGAGAAATCAAACCCCCACCGGAAATCGACACACAACCCCTCGCATACTTCGCAAAATCAACTGATATCGACACACAACCCCTCGGGATCCCCTATCGGAAATCAACACTAAGGTGATGGAAAATTTAGAGTTGCAGGTTTCCGGTCGATAGTGTAATCGTTGAAGGCGACTTCATCGTTATCAACGTCTCTCGTTAGAATCCAATTTACAGACACAAAGATAGGAGAGACAACATAGTTATTTTCCACAACGATGTCGATGGATCTAGAGTTGTAGAGTCGTAATAAGGTTTTATCTTCGGAGAAGTAGTGAGAGATGGAAGCAAAGTAGAGAGAGGTAGTCTGCCATTTTTGTTTCAGGTGAGTTTTGGGGGACGAAAGGAAAATGAGGAAAGGGAAGGGGGAGGTCCGATCTAGTGGAGATATTTATTTATTTATTATTTTCTTTAAATTTAAATTTTATAAACAAATAAAAGAAAATTGAAAAAGAAATTATGAAGGGCAAAATAGTCTTTTTATGTACGAAGGGACGAAGCATGCAAATTTTAAGCAAACGAGGGAGGGTCCGAGTTAACTTTTGAAAATAGGGACTAAACATGCTTTCTGACATATGCACGGGGACGATTGGTGTAATTTACCCAAAAATCAACAATATCTATTCGTTAAATAGAATGAAAGTCACTATATTACCATAAAATTTCGATTTTGACACCAAGTTTTTTTTTTTTTTTTTTTTTTTTTTTTTTTTTTTTTTTTTTTTTTTTGCAATTATGGCACTATATTTACAGTTTTGTTGCAATATCAACCAAATGATTAGTTCTCTCCGTTCTCCCGATAACCACTTTTCCTTAATTGCAATAAAGTCACGAAGTTTACCAAAATTTCGATTTTGACCCCGAGTTTCAAATTGCAAGAAAGTCATTGTATTACCATAAAATTTTGATTTCGACACAATTTTTTTTCTCTCAATTATATCATTATATTTATTATTTTGTTGCAATGTAAGCCAATTGACCGATTCAGGAGATGTTAGTGTGGTTTAGAAGCTTGATGTATACAACCAATAAATGAAGGTTGGTCTAATGGTTCAAACTAACTTACAAGTCAGCGAAAAGGGAATAGTCACCATTCCAGGAGATGTTACCTAAAAGGGTGAGTATGTTTTTTTCGCTGAATTTTAAGTAAGTTTGAACCACTGGATCAACCTAAAAATATACGCGAAATTGGGTTCGATGCAAACCCTATATTTGAAACTCAATCCTACCTTATAAGATCTTACGTGGCTCCCACATCACAATATTGTCATGTCAACCAATTGACCGATTACCATCAATCTAATTGGTTATCAAATAAATGAGATGAGAATGTTATTAAAACTTGTATCTTCTTTTTACATTCTATTTGCTTACCTATTTTTCTTTATTTCACCATCATGTGGATTCTTTCTTGATTTTGTCTTGCATCAAACAAGATCAAGAATCAAAAATTTATTTTCTTTTCATACTAAAAACGATAAGTGACATAAAGGGAGAAAAATAATAGAACACTTCTTTGCATTTAGGAATCATATATAGTCAATTAATGTGAAAAGGGCGAAATACAAGAAATAGCAATGTACTTTCACTTATTTGTGTATTATAATTGAAAAAATGTGTTTCTTGCATGTAACCTGTGATAAAAATTGTAAAAGATGTGTTTTTTACACAAATTACAACAATTTCATGCATGATTTTTACTGGATGTTGACTATCCTCACTTATTTATGACAATAACAGGATTATGTGCAAACAGTTTTTGACAGTTTTAGTGCAAATGTTGTGGTCGATGGGAGCACTATAAATCTTGGATTGTGGGATACTGCAGGTTGATTCCTTAATTGATTATGTGTTTTTTTAATTCTTTTTCTACTAAAAGTATGTTACTTTTTTTTTTTTTTTTTTTTAAAAAAAAGGTCAAAAAGATTACAACAGATTGAGACCTTTGAGTTATCGTGGTGCTGATGTTTTCATACTTGCATTTTCCCTCATTAGCAATGCTAGCTATGAGAATGTCTCCAAAAAGGTGATTCTGTTTTTAGTGATTATATTGGAGTAAGTAAATTACAGAAATGGTCCCTGTGCTTTTTGATTTTTACCGTGTTTAGTACAAAGTTGCAACCTTTTTTTTTTTTTTTTTTTTTTTTCCAGTGTTGGTCTTCATTTTAAGGTCTCATATTGATATTGGTCCTTGTTTTAAGGTTTTTTATATCGATTTTGGTTCTTATTTCAAGGTTCAAGGGACCAAAATATAAGATCTATCTAGTTATAGCAATATTCTTCAAATGAAAATCAACTTTTATGGTTAAAATTAGTGAGATTTTTCAAACTACAATGCCTTAATAAGAAAAAAATGGAAGTACAAATCTGTAATAGGAAAAAATGAAAGAATGATGCTATAAATATAATACACAAATAGATGAAAGTACATTGCTATTTCTTGTATTTTACCCTTTTATTAGCAACAGTACACTCGGTGAATCATTTCATTTATAAAATGTTTATTTATTTAACAAAATGAATGATTGCAATTACTCTCATTTTCGTTCTACGAGTTTGTATTAAACTAACAGCCAAATGACCAAAATACCCTCCAATGTTTTTGTTTTTGTGATGAAGAATGGCTGCCAAAATGTGATGCTTTTCAATTTAAACATCCTAAAAATCGAATCTCTGCAATTTTTATAAAAGAGAGAGAGAAACTACAAGTCTTTAGTCAATGTAGACAAGTCATGACCTCAAATGACCAAAATACCCTCCAACACTGACTAAATGTTTATATGTTTTGAAGATCTTCGAGATGATAAACAGTTTGAGTGACCATTCTGGTGCGGTTCCAATAACTACAACTTAGGTACAATTAGAAACTACTCCTATTTAAAATGATGTTTAAAAAAATATTTGAGAGCACTTGTGGAAATATAAAGAAGAAAAATAAATGAGGGCAAATTTGTAAAAAGGTTAGGACTTAATGTGGAAAGTCTCATTTCTATGGCTTTCTGTGTTAAGTCGAAAAGAAACACTCATATTATTATTTATATTTGCATAGGGAGAGGAGCTGAAGAAGCTCATTGGTGCCCCTGCTTACATTGAGTGTAGCTCAAAAACACAGCAGGTGATATGTCATGTTTATGCTCAATTTATATGTTATAATATATATGTCCCATGAAATTGCAATGTTTTTGACTTTTGGTCAAATTTCTAAATATCCTTAAAAACAGCAGGGGCAATTTGGTAATTGACCTTAAGAGTTTGGACTTTGGAACATAAAAGTTATAATATTCGTGAGGCAAATACCAAAAGTAAAGTTGCATTTTTTTTCATGGGACATCTAAAGATGAAAGATGTTGCATTTTTTTTGATGATACACCAATGAAACTGTTTTCAATGATGTGGATGCAATGCAAGGGTATTTACATCTTTTTGCACACGTACATGGTTATTGCAGAACGTGAAGGCAATGTTTGATGCAGCCATTAAAGTGGTTCTCCTGCCACCAAAGCAAAAGAAGAAAAAGAAGCGAAGGGGTCAAAAATCATGCTCCATTCTGTAACTTTGTGCACAAGATTTTTAGTGATGAATCGAATGGAAAAATGGGAAGAAAGTTTGACTTTTCAATGGTGAATGTTCAAGTGTTGATCACTGTGGCCTTTATATAGTTTTTGATGAATTTGGTCACTTTTATTGTGTTTTGTGTTGTGTAAGTCGATATATGTAATTCTTTAACACCAAATAGTTGAGACTTTAGGGGACTATTTGGGTGATATGTAATATGGTTTTATCTTATGTAGATTGTGGAAAGATGTTGATTTTAAGAGGGTTGAAAATGAAATTACTTTTGAATGGTTACTATATATGCTTAGGATGTATCGGTTTTGCGGATCCCAGTGGAACTGTAATCGGAATCAGATTCCGTTCCACAAGATTAATGCGGGAGATGAGCTCCCACGTTTCCCTTGTAGCTCAATTTGTTGTTCATACATGTGTAGTTGCTTATGAACCTCTTAATAAATGTTGCTGAGTGTTCTAAGCTGTATTTTAGCATGCTTAAATAATGCATATACTAAACATTCAAAGGGTCAGTTTTGATTTAAAAGAAATGAATACTAAATTACTAATTCTCATGTTTTATAGGGGTCTCATAAATAAAACAAAACCCAATAGCTCGCCTAACCTAAATAAGGCCTGGGTTACTTGGTTGGGGCTATTCAGTTTTTGGGTGATTCATTTCGGTTTTAGTTAACTTTTTAGTATTTTACATGCACCGAATAAGCAATTAGATTAGTATTTATATTTGGTTGGGGCTATTCAGTTTTTGGGTTACTTTGCAATTTCTTAAATGTTAAAACATTTAGTAAGTTTTAAAAATGGAAGTCGAATTTTACTTACAATTTTTCTAGAGTGCATGCGTTTTTAATGATAAACTAGCGTTGCAACTTATCTGTATTTTGGTTTATTCCACACCCCTATTATAAATGGTTTAATCGGCTAACTGAAACCGTATAATCCAAAACTAATTAAACCAACTTACGTGTATTTTGGTTTATATATTTAAAAAAAATCGAATAAACTGAAACACTATTAAACGACACCCATGCCGAGTAAAAAGAGGCTATTTGGCATTGCACAAACCTGGCCTTTGGTACATGAGTTGTCTTGTAACGACCCAATTTTTACGTCCGAAAATTTCATTTTAAAATATTACTTTAGAAAACATTAATAAATAAAAACATTGTTGATCACACCATAACACATCGCAACCATGTTTTAAAAGGTCAAACCATACATCCCATCAAAATATCAGAGTACAATCCCAGTGACTCTCGTAAATGCGGAAGACAGAGTGTGTGTGCATGACGTGCCGCTACCGCGTCGGCTCCTTCCCCTTCGGTGCAGAGGTACCTGAAAACAAAACTGTAAACGTAAGCACAAAGTTTAGTGAGTTCCCCCAACGTACCACATAACATGCAAACACATAACATAAATACTGGCAGGCTATTCTGGGGTGCCTGACTACCCGGTACGGCCATTCTGGGGTGCCGACCTACCCATATGGCCATTCTGGGGTGCCGTCCTACCCATGTCAAGCCATTCTGAGGTGCTGACTACCCATGTCAAGCCATTCTAGGGTGCTGACTACCCATCGGTCCTAACAACCGATCCTCGGGGACTGGTCCCCTCCCGCTACCTCTATCGCATAACATAACAGGCCAACATACAAGCATACCATCACATACGGTCAGATATTTCTGGGGTGTCTGACTACCCTGCGGTCCTAACAACCGAACTCTACTACTATTGCATATAACGTATCATGAGAGCATATAACATAACAGGTAATAGCAAACCTAGATGATATCACAAAGACAATCATTTATCATACGTCCCCTACTGGTGGGCCGACATTGTGGCCTTAGGCCCACCACTACTGGAAGGTAACTCACCTCAAAGTAGCTGCTGAACTGAACGGGAACTAACTGACTGCTGCTGCTCCGGGAGTCCTCCGGCTGCAATTCCCACAACATACTCAATCAAACACTGCTAACTGTCCTTTAGGTAAAATGACCATTTTACCCCCGGTCTAGCTCTAAGTCAATGTTAGAGTTAACTTTCAGTTGACCCGACTCGTCGAGTTGGCTCTCCAACTCGTCGAGTCCCTATCAGACGATTGTCCGGAGTCCCTGTTTCTACTCGTCGAGTTAGGCTATGACTCGACGAGTTCATCTTCTAGACTGACGTTCAACCTCTTCATCCTACTCGCCGAGTTGTATGAACAACTCGTCGAGTTCATCTTCATCCGAAGAACACTTTATGCTAAGACTCGCCGAGTTGTATGAACAACTCGCCGAGTCTGTTCTTGATCTATGAAGATTGCCTTGGACTCGCCGAGTCCTAACATGGGTGAGTTCAGCTCCCAACTCACCGAGTCACCCCCTGTGACTCACGGCTCAACTCGATACATCATGAAGGGACCAATTCGGTGACTCGCGACCAGACTCGCTGAGTCACCTATACGACTCGCCGAGTCGTCGCCATGCATCCACCAAATACACCGATTTACTCGATTTTAGTTCATGCCATTCATAGATCTGGACTTCTAGGACACCAATCACACGTAAAGTTTCCAACTTTACGTGTGGATACTCACTAATATGGATTTTAGGGTTCAAAATGCCTCAAAAGGGTAGATCTAGGATGAACAAGCCACATGGGGCCATAAAGCTAACAGATCTGAGCTCCTGGAGCTCAATCTTGCCTAGATCTAAAGGCCCATCCACTTATTACGAAACATTAAGCACAAACAAGCTTGAGGAATTGCTCAAGAGTGTCTTAAATGAAATCTTAAGCATAGAAACAGGGGGAAAACGGGATATACCTCAATGAAACAGCTGAAAAACACAATGATGCTTGGATGGCTCTCCTTCCTCTTGATCTCCTTCCCCTTCTTGCCTCAAAACCTTCAAGAATGCACACAAGAGCCTCAAATTCACAAGAACAAGCTTAGGACGAGTTAGGACGAGGGTTGGGAGCTCTGGGGGTGAATGGGGGTTGGCAAGGGGCAGATATGGGGTTTAAATAGGGTGCAAACCCCTGAAACTTAGGGTTTCATTCAACAGCGGTGACTCGCCGAGTCCAGGATATGGACTCGCCGAGTCGCCAACTTAAACGTGTCCTGCGTCTCGTCCCTACTCGGCGAGTCGGACCTAGTGACTCGCCGAGTCCAAGGCTAAAATAGGGCAATACTCAAATAAAATTCACATACCGGAAACCAGGTGCTACAAATCTCCCCTACTTATTTTAGACTTCGTCCTCGAAGTCTGCTGTCCGGTCCTGAAACAGCTCGGGGTAATGCTCCATCATCTCGTCCATCGGTTCCCAAGTCCATTCCGAACCCTTGCGGTGCTGCCATTGCACCTTTACTAGTTCTACCTCTTGTTTCTAACGTCTTTGTCTTTCTGTCAAGTATTGCGACTGGGCGCTCAATGTAATTCAAGCTGTCGTCAACCTGAATATCCTCCAATGGTACTACTGCTGAATCGTCCACCAGGCACTTCCGCAGCTGCGAAACATGAAAGGTGCTGTGGATCTGACTGAGCTCGGCTGGCAGGTCCAACCTATAAGCCACCTTGCCCACCCGGGCTGCAACCCTGAACGGCCCGATGATCCTTGGGCCCAACTTGCCCCGCTTCCTGAATCGAATGACACCTTTCCAAGGCGACACTTTCAGGAGGACCATATCCCCGACTTGGAACTCCAAGTCGGATCGACGTCTATCGGCGTAGCTTTTCTGCCGACTATGTGCAGTCTGAAGTCTGCTCCGAACCTGCTGGATCCTCTCGGTCGTCTCTAGCACCACCTCGGTGCTTCCCATGACTCTCTGGCCAACCTCCCCCCAACATATCGGGGTTCTGCACTTCCGCCCATACAACATCTCGAACGGTGGTCGGTCAATGCTCGCGTGATAGCTGTTATTGTAGGAGAACTCAGCCAAGGGAAGATAGGTATCCCAGCTACCACCGAAATCCAACACACACGCCCGCAACATGTACTCCAAAGTCTGGATGGTCCGCTCACTCTGACCATCTGTCTGCGGGTGAAAGGCGGTGCTAAAATGCAGACGAGTGCCCAACTCGTCATGGAATTTCTTCCAAAATCTGGAAGTAAAACGCACATCCCTGTCCGAGATCACCGATACTGGCACCCCATGCCGTGCCACAATCTCCCTGATATAGATGTCGGCCAATTTTTCGGCCGATATGCTCTCCTGAATTGGAATAAAGTGAGCACTCTTGGTCAATCTATCCACAATGACCCAAATCGAATCCACTCCACGTGCGGTCCTGGGAAGCTTTGTGATAAAATCCATCGTGATATCTTCCCATTTCCACAGTGGAATGTCCAACGGCTGCATCTTGCCATGCGGTCTCTGATGTTCGGCCTTGACCTTCCTGCAGGTCAAACACCGCTCGATGTACCATGCCACATCCCGCTTCATGCAAGGCCACCAGTAATCCGGACGAAGATCCCTATACATCTTCGTCGCCCCGGGATGAATAGAAAATCGGGACTTGTGCGCCTCCTCCATCAAAATCTGACGCACGCCACCGTGATACGGCACCCACACCCTACGGTGCAGTGTCAAAAGTCCTCGGCCATCATAATCAAAGGAGGAAACCTGACCCACCACACGCTCGCTCTTCTGATGCTCCTCCTTGATAGCCTCCTGTTGAGCCTCCCGAATCTGCTCCAACAGGGGGTCACCACGGTCATCCTCAAACAAGCGTCCCTGATCGGCACCGTCTTGCGGCTAAGCGCATCGGCCACCACATTGGCCTTCCCCGGGTGGTAAAGGATCTCGCAATCATAATCCTTCACCACGTCCAACCACCGACGCTGCCTCATGTTCAGATTCGGCTGGTCCATGAGGTACCTCAAACTCTTGTGGTCCGTGTAGATGGTACACCGAACCCCGTAGAGGTAATGTCGCCAAATCTTGAGGGCAAAGACCACCGCCCCCAACTCCAAATCGTGCGTCGGGTAATTTGCCTCGTGAGGCTTGAGCTGCCGTGAAACGTAGGCAATGACATGCCCTCTCTGCATCAGAACTGCGCCCAACCCTGAAATGG